GCTGTGTCCTGAGGGCGTTGCGGGCCCCGGAGGAGGCGGGGGTGTCGGTCACGGTCGTCGCCTTGAAGCTGGAAGGGAGCTCCGTCACCCGTGGTCGTGGGCCGCTGCGTGGCAGGGTCAGGGAAGTCACATCACGGGGTGAAATGGGCTAACTTGCACACAGACTGTGATCCTAGCAGTTGTTAATGTCAACTTTTATTAGGCTTAGGTATGTCAGTGTAATATTCAGCCAAGATATTGTGTGTTCTCAGTGAACAGGGCTCTGAGGCTCTTAGGAATATTTTCCAGCAAAGCCAGAGGCAACTGCAATCTCAGTCAAGGGAGAAAGTAAGCAGACAAAAATTTGTTATGTCTCTAAAGACAAAGAAGGATGTGCATCCCACTGGAAAAAAAATCCTTTCTAGGTTGCTAGTGGAAATTGCTAGCCTTCCAAATTGTTTTGGCTTACCTGCCATTTACTTTAAAAGAAAAAAAAATATCTGGGACAAATTGCAGGAAATTAAAATGCTGGTCTGATAAGGAGTAAACATGCCAGAGCTGGAGACCCTGCAAAGGAGTGCTCTATCCCTGATATTGCAGTTCTCAAAGCTGCCTGTCTGCAGATCACACTGTGATTGTGACAAAACTTTGTCAGATACACTGTTGGCAATATTGACTCCTTTGCAATGAAGGAGTGACAAAGAGCAGAGAGATGGAATATCCTGAAATTGCCTATATTGTTTGTCCAGACATCCAGAGTGTTCACCAAACATCTGTTTCTCAGGTCACAGTCAGGAACAGGGAAGACAGCAACATTCTCCATCTCTGTTCTGCAGTGCCTGGATATACAGGTAATTTCATAGCACATGCTAAAAATGATTTTTAACTAAATTGGTAGAGTCTTGAATAAGCAAAGCTTTACATTGAAATCTTTTAATTACAGGCAGTGAACTTCAGACAGATTTCTGACTGAAGATTTCACCAGACTCTACTCTCTAACAATTTAACTGTTAAACCCACCCTGGCAAAATAAGTTCAGATAAAGTCTTGTAATTATAAAGTGGGCTTTAACAGCTGCCCTTTTTCACATATTAGAGGGCTAAATTAATCTCTCAGCAGGCAGAATTGTCCTCAAACAGCCCTAATGGCACGAGCAACCTGTCTGAACGGCTGGCATACATTGCACAGAATCAAACCTAGATTTTTGACTGACAGATGTTTGCTTTTGTTCTAGTCAGGGGTATTGTGTCCATCCAATTGTTTTTTTTAAGGATGACTTGAATCTGTAGATGCTGTTGAATAAAATGATGATTTTCTGCGGGCCAGTACCCTCTTAAAGCTTAGATTGTTATTCACCTGTCACTGCCTGGTGACATAAAAATAAATGTTGCGTGTTCTAAATGAAAAGGTCAGCTTTTGGCTTCATGTCTGCAAAAGTGCTCGTAATATTTTTCAAACATGACACTTTAAAACATTATCTTGGAATCCTTGTGCAACACAAGGTTTTTATCTGAACTGAACACACAAAATTGAAGTGCCTTAAATGTGTTTCTCTTCTTTTGCAAGGAAAGTACACACTTTTATAATTGTTTCCAGAAATTGGGTTGGAATGAAAAATGAGCTATCGAAGAACTGCTTATGTGTTGTCTTGTCAAAAGTAACAATTAAGAGGCTGTTACTGTGTAAATGTTCTGTGTGAGAGCAGCTTTCTAGGTGTACTGACCCTTGCAAACACTAGGTTTTAGCACAAAATTCTATGATTAATCCTTCCACTGTGACATTTCAGAGTACTGTTGCTTGGATATCTGCCCTGTGATAACTGCCATGTGATCACCTGTTTTAATCAGGTTCGCGAGACCCAGGCATTGATCTTGGCACCAACTCGGGAGCTGGCTGTACAGATTCAGAAGGTAGGAGCATTTAAACCACTGTCTGTAAAGCACTCACAAGGCCTGGGGCTGATTCTCAGGTGTTCCTCAGCAGAGCTTAAAGCACAGCTTCTGCTTTTTCTTTCTGTTTCTGAAAGGAATAAGAAGTTCTGATAAAGGGCTGTTTTGCTTATCTGCACTGTATCTATCTGTTCTTGCTTACATGACCAGGCTGGTTAGCAGTCTAAGGTTTTACACAGTCCTAAGTGAATTTTTAAGGACAGCACTTTTAAAGCAGTTGTGATCCCTGGGGAACTGAGTTTCCAGTGTTTGAAAGCCTGCTGTCGAGGAGGTTTTGGTAACAGACATAAAAAAACCCTCTAACTGCTTGTGCTTACATCTCTAAAAAAAAAAAAAAAAAAAAAAACCAAAAACAAACAACAAACCACCATATGGCTCTGCAGACCTGCATCTCTTCACAAATACAAACTTCATGAGAGCTCAGTTAATTAAGCCATTCCTTTGTACCAACACAGGGTCTTCTTGCTCTGGGAGACTACATGAATGTCCAGTGTCACGCCTGCATCGGAGGGACCAACGTGGGCGAAGATATCCGAAAACTGGATTATGGGCAGCATGTTGTTGCTGGCACTCCAGGCCGTGTGTTTGGTAAGGAGATGTGGGGGGCTACATCACCTCCGGCTTCGGACCTGAGTTGAGCCATGGGAAGCTCCTGCAACTTTTGTGCGCTTAGATTTGAAATAGCATGAAAATTATGTTTATTGTGACACCATTAATGTAACATTAATGTAAAGTATAACAAGGTAACAACTTACTGTAGTAATATTTGGAAAAGACTAGAGAGAAATCAGTGGAGATAGTATTTGGATTTTCTCTGTTTATGTTTTGCTTTTCATTGTTGGAAGTGTTTTCTTATATGGTGGCATGGGAACAAAGAGTATTTTTTTAAGGAGAAAATGTTACAATCCCAGGAAGAATCTTGGAGGAGGTGGGTCTACTTGAATGTCAAAGTTAGGTCCATATTTTCTGTGTACTGGCCATCGCTCTGTCTTTGTTAAATCAGGTGCCCTTGCAGCTGGTACTTTCTAGTTTCATGGCATGAAAATTTTTATATTTACTCCTCGTGGCAGTTACCACAGTGATAGTGTTAGTCTTCAAGCTCACATCTTCTGGATCTCTGAGAAACAGGCAGCACTTTTACGCAAGCACCTGTCAGTGGGAGAACATAGAGCTACTCCCCACAAGCAAAAAAAAAAATGCGAGCTGCTGCCAAGCTGGGCTGGCACTAATAGCAAATACTTTTCTATCACAGTATTAAGGGATTACACAAAGCCGAGTGCTCTTTCAAACAGGATGTGGATTTGCCCAGTCTGTTGAGGTAGCATTTTGCGTTTCTCACATCCAGCTGTAGTTACTGTGGGAGACTGGGTCACCTGTCCTGTGCAGTTAGCAAATAGCACCCCACAGCTCAGACTCTCAGAGCTTCCCTGCAGTCAGTGCTCCCTTAGCCGGGCTGCAGAGACGTCCCCCTAGGTTGCAGAGTGCAGTGGACACGCTGTGGCCCTTGGATGTGCCTTCTTTCACCAAACACCAGTGTCTGTTGGCAACAGGGGAATTGCCTGTCCCTCCTCCACCGAAATGCCCTGACAGCAGCTGGGAGCAGTGTAGGCTCACTTGCTTTCAGAGCCTTTTCATCTTACAAAGTGAAATCTTACAGATATGATTCGTCGTCGAAGTTTAAGGACTCGTGCCATCAAAATGCTGGTTTTGGATGAAGCAGATGAAATGCTCAATAAAGGTAAAACATTTGTCTCCCTTTTACTTCCTTTTTCCTCACTTCTTTGAGATTCCAGGGTGTCCAAGCTGGCAGTCCTGCTGCTAAAAACAATTGGTTTTTGCCAAAGTTAGATGATTATAGTCATGTTATAGGCTGTAACAGGTTAAGCTGCTTAATATACCCTGTCTGATTTAGTTGTAGCATTCTTTTCAATAGTTATAAATTCTTGAGCACTGCCTTTCATACTTCACTGTGTACCATGGCCACATTGTAGTGGGTTTGGGAAAATGAGGAAGAGATGAGCTATGTGTGACACTGACTTTGAGTTAGATTCACTCATTAATGTTCATGTCATAGCATAGGCCAAATACTGGATTTCAGATCAAACTGTGAAAGAGCAGGATATTTGGGAGAAAAATGTGCTAACTGTTCTGTGCTACTTGATTTGCTTTTCAGGTTTTAAGGAGCAGATTTATGATGTGTACAGATACTTGCCTCCAGCTACACAGGTGGTTCTGATCAGCGCCACTTTGCCTCATGAAATCCTGGAGATGACCAACAAATTCATGACAGACCCCATTCGCATCTTGGTGAAACGGTGAGTGAGTTTCCTTGGAAAGAACAGGAGCTCTTTGAGTTGGTCCAGCCCTGGGCAGTTCACAGTATTAACCAATTTAAACACA